CCATATTATTTTAATTGATTTCTTCGCCAGTTAGTCGTCTGTCACTTCGTTTGTGGTACAACCTATTGGAGGCTCTGACAAAGCTGGAAGTTAGACTGTCCAACGAAAGCACCATCAACACTTTTCGCAGAGGCGGCCGTGAGCCAGAAGACGCGTTCAGAGAGTAAGAACCGGTGAAGACAGAGAGGAGCATAGGGTAGTTTTCCGAGCGGCCAGGGCCGCATTTAAACCATAGAGGTAACTCTAAGACTAGAAGGTCCCGAAATAACATGCTCAACTTTTTGGCTCAGCTCTGGTACTCTCTTCGGTCCCAAGCTAATCGATTCACCCCTCGAAACATAGAAAAAACCAATAACCCCTCATTTTATCTGTCAAACTTTCATAGCGAATCAAAACAAACATTTCGTAGTACTAGAATTTCGACTATAATGGGGTACGTTAATCGTTTGCTTGGGACCAATAGGCTATTCAAGTAGTGAGCCAATTTAAAATCGTTAGTTTCGTATTGATTGTTGTTTAAACTGCAAATACAGCAGAACAAGTCAAAATGTTTCAAGGAGCTGTACCAAGACGTTAATGCCAACCTGGAGTGACGTATACCGAATCGTGATGACGAAGATCTGAGGTCCATCGACGACCGCTTAAATGTGTCCAGACAAGTTGAAGGTAATCGTATCGTGGCCACACCGTAGGGCGAGGAAGAGACAGACAACACCGAAGAAGTCTTCAACGAAGAATTCGTTGCAGTGGCGAAGGGTTGAGGACGAAGAAAGCACCTGGTCTGGATAAAATCCCCAACATGGCGTTGAAAGCGGCGGCGATCCAAGCGTCCCGAAACATGTACAGGACAAGGTTGCAAATACTCATTTCAGCTAAAATAATGTTTTTCTGAATAATAAAACCAAAAGATGGTATGATGGTATGTTTTACTTGTAATTTACAAGAAGAGGTTACAAAGTATGCGTTTGAAACATAAAACCTGTAAATTTTGCTTTCTATGAGTCACAATCAGCGATTTGCTGATCGCTGAGTGAGTGAGTGAGTGAGTGAGTGAGTGAGTGAGTGAGTGAGTGAGTGAGTGAGTGAGTGAGTGAGTGAGTGAGTGAGTGAGTGAGTGAGTGAGTGAGTGAGTGAGTGAGTGAGTGAGTGAGTGAGTGAGTGAGTGAGTGTGTGAAAAATCGCTGATTGTGACTCTCATGACTCTCTCTCATTCTTTGCAACCTCTTCTTGTATCCTACCAATTCAAAATATGATCATGGCATCTAATTATTTCATAATTAAAAAAACAACATTGTTTTAGCTGAAATGAGTATTTGTAACCTTGGTACAAGATGGTGCTGCAGAAATGCCTGGATGAGACTTCCCAGACATATGGAAGATACAGAACCTAATGTTGCTGCTGAAGCCAGGAAAATCACCGGGGGATCCAGCATCGTAAACCTAACTTGGAAAGCTTTTGGAGAGGCAGATCGGATTCCGGAAACGGATATCAACCGCCGTGCAATTCGGACAGTGGTCAATAGAGCCGAGAAGGCGTCCAAATAGAAGCGTAGAGGAGATCAGTATTGCGCTGTGATAACGATAAACGTCAATAACGCATTCAACAGTGCCAGTTGGAAGGTCATCGCCGGAGAGCTGCACAGAATGAGGGTTTCTGACTACTTGTGCAAGAATCCTGAGGAGTTACTTCCAGAACCGGGTTCTAGCCTACGAGATAGACATGGGACAGAGATCGATTAGGATCACGGCGAGAGTTCCACAAGACTCCATCCTTGGTCCAACGCTCTGGAACGGGATGTACAACGGCGTGCTGACACTCAAGCTGCCCATAGGAATCGAGATCGTTGGCTTTGCGATAACAGGCGAGACGCTGGAAGAGATGGAAATGTTAGTGACCGAGGCGATCGATACGATTGGAAACTGGATGCAATGAGTGAAGCTGCAGATAGCCCACCACATAACGGAAGTTGTATTGGTCAGTAACTACAAAGCAATGCAGCGGGCGGAAATTACCGTTGGGGAGCACGCCATAGCCTCGAAGTGCGTGCTGAAAATTCTGGAAGTGATGATCGACGACCGGCTAAACTTCAATAGCCTCGTCGAATAAGCTGCAAGATGACAGCCTGGGTTGCAGCGCTACCCTAAGGAAACTGAACAGTACGTATTGGCTCATGGCCATGCGAGTCATGAGTGCATACAGAATCATCTCGTCGGAGGCAGTATGCGTTATTGCCGGAATGATCCGTATCGGCATCACCCTGGCGGACGACAGCGAATGCTATAAGCGGAGAAAAACCAGAGGAGTACGAAAATTGGTGAGAGCGTATTCGATGACCAAGTGGCAACAGGAATGAGACTCAGCGAAGAGCGGTAGATGGACTCATCGGTTATTCCCGATACTTTCAACCTGGGTGAACAGCTACAGGGGGCTAGGGGCTATAGCTCCCGTAGGATTAATGTAGCCCCCTCTAGAATTGTTACTACAATTATTCATTTTCCTTACACATCAAAATTGTTCGCAAATTAGAAAAATAAATTTAGCCGCTCCTAGATTGTTTTCTTAGTTACGCCAATAGGTAAACTTCCACCTGACGCAGTTCCTGTCTAGTCACGGTTGCTTCAGGAAGTACCTGCATCGATTCGGACACGCAACGTCACCCCTCCGTCCAGAGTGTGAGAATGTGAACGAAACGCCGGAGCACGTGGTCTTTGACTGTCCTCGATTTGAAGCAGTGTGAAGCTCGGTGCGAAGGGAGATGCCTGCACTTAGACAGAAAATGTCGTCGAGGAAATGTTTCGAGAGGAGGGCACCTAGGATGCCGTCAGCTGGACAGTCACTCGAATACTGTCGGAGCTGCACCGTAAATGGAGAAACGATTAGCGAGTTATCAACGCCGGCTAGCGCTGTGATTAATGGGCTGTTTACACTTATGCTAGTTCACTAGCTCAACCAGCTCAACCAACTAACACGAATTCCAGTTGTGCCTGAAATCTCATGCTGGTAGATGCACCCTGTTTACATTATGCTGGCTACTTTTTAGTACTGTTCTAGTACACTAGCGCTAGCAAATCAGCAGAGATGTAAACACCACATAAGAGAGGAGCATGAGGGATCCAGGCTAGGGAAGAGAGTAAGGAACTGGTTTCAATGGGGAGACACTAGGTAACTACATTACATACACTTAAATTTTATGTTTGTCGAGATTCCAACAGCCGAGTATTTAGTTCTGAAATTTATTTTGCTGTGCCGGTGGTGTAGTGGTAAGCGTGATTAGCGATTTGGTAAGCATTCTGAGGCATAACATCTCTGATCACGCCTTCCTTCGGAAGGGAAGTAAAGCCGTTGGTCCACGGTTCATGAGTTGATGGATCGATAGGTAGGGTCCAGGTGTGGGAGCTGCCTCCCTGGTGTCGGTAGCATTGGTGCTCACCACGGAAAACAAAATCGACCGAAAACAAATCAAGATTGAGAAAAAAAAATTAAATTTGGAATAAAAGATTTAGAGTAAACAAAATTTACACACTTACCCTAATTAAATGCAGAACAAATGTCTAGATTGAGAACGTTAAATGATAAAAGAAATGTTTCTTTCACAAAGTAGCTTGAAATTAGCTCAGCTACAACTTTGCTGAACAACATGTTTTTATTTTTAAATTGAACTGGAGTAATCAATTGTGATGTTTAAACTTGCTCAGTTATGGCTTTGCAGTCTGGTAAACCAAGGTTAGAATGAATTAATTTAAGAAAAACCACCATGATGCTCTAATATTGAACAACCATAAAATCAACATCATTGCTATGTACAAAAACTTATCAAAAAAAAATCAGACATTACACTTTGAAAAGTATATAGACAAAGAAAGAGCACCAAAATGTCCCCCCCCCCCCTGAAGAAGGCTCTAATCAGAGTCGAAACGTAGGGATGAATTAAAATTCATTCGTTCTAATTTTGTTTTATCAGACTGCAAATTAGCAAGGATTATTTTCGAAAATAAAAAAATTGTATTTGAATATCCTTTACCCACTAGATTAAGGGAGCCCAACATATTCAAATAATACTCATGTACGCTGCAATATATCAACAACACTGAAAATTGTATGCAGGGTAGAGCGCTACTTCGTCGTAATCGCCTATTTCCGTTCCATCGAGTAGAAAATATCAACAGAATTGATGATTTCACCGCGCACAAATCAGTAATACGATAGTTCCAAAACTTTAATCCAAAAACTACAACACAAAGCCTATAAGAGCGCATAGTATGAAGATTTTCACCCATTGTTCTCAAAAACAAGCAGAAAGCACTCCTATCGAATTATTGTTGTCTGCCTTCATCCGTATGACGAAGAAAATCCATTGGTGTTTCAATGTGTTTGGACGAAATTGGAATTCGTAGTACGAATTTTGGATCAAGATGTAGTGTTATATTTTTAACAAAATATGAAAAATGTGTGCTTCTTTAACAAATCCAATAATCTTCTTGAATAGTAACATTGCATTTTTTCTCAAAAAGGATGTAAAGAAATAAATCAAAAACCCTATGCTTGAAGCTCCCAGCTCCCCAGCAGCGGAGGCCTGCCAAAAAGGAAAATGGAAGAACCATAGCACCACTTAGTCACGACGGAAAATCTTATATACTTCCAACCACACGCAATAGACTGACCACCTAACGAGCAGACGAAGAACGAAGTGTCCGACGCTATAAATTCAAACATTTCCATATACCTTCCAACCTACCAGCGTATGCAAACATAGCACCTTTCCTGTGTGTCACCTAGAGGTTCCCACACCACACCACACCGGCTCAAGCAGACTTCTTCGGCCGGTCAGCACAGGTGTGCTTTTCCAGTCCTTTTTCCGCCAGGGCACCGAACGACAAAAAGCTCCTAACGAGTATAGAGTTGATGTTTATGTGGAAAAGCTCGGTTTTCCTCCACAGGAATAGACTGACCACATAACGAAAGGTTGCACGATATGGTCATTCGGACGGCGACTGTCGGCGAAGAAAGTCCATTCTTTCTCCAGTTTGTGTTGAAAGATGTTCAAAGTTAGTGAATCAGTTGTTAGTTGAATAGTTTATGGTGTCTATGCAAAATTTTATGATAACGTGGCTAAGAGTATTGGAAATTTTCAAATCAATTCGAGCATTTTGAATCGTACCGTGATTTCATTGCAGTCAGTTAACGTGAGTTCATATCGACTTTTTCATCCTTGTTTGCATTATTCATTAGTGGACTTCACCTCAATTTGGGTCAGAGCCCCATACCTGGCTGCGAAGTTTCCATGCCCGTGACTTTTCTTCAATAGAAAAGGCAACGCATGGTCGTCAAACGCCATCTTACTTTTCTACCGTTCGTTGGCGAGCAACGTGGATTTTGTTCGAACGTGTTAGTGTGAAGATTGTTTTAATGCTTTTCTGTAGTGAGAGGCAGTTGACTATTGTTTGAGCGATGTTGTTTGCTAATGATGTTGGAAATCAAGGATTAATTTATTCTCTCTGGAAAAATTCCAATACTCTGGTCATCAGTAAGCACACAACCGCGATGTAAATGCTATCGAATAGTTGTATCAGTGAAATGTTACACTACAGACGATCGTCATAAAATGAATAATTCAGCCGGTTTAAGTGAAATGGCCGTGAACGTATGGGAAAAAGTGCTATCGATCTAGAAAAGGGTAGTAATCAGCCGTATGTTTTGAAAACTACCATCATTCTTTTTCATTCGAGTGGCACGCACTGAGGAAAATGCCAACCTATTCGACACGTCAGCAGGAAGAGCTTTTGGAAGAGAGTCCAGCATTTGCAATTGTGCCGGTTGATCACTTCAGAGGGCTTGGAAAACCAAATGCCATCGTCCGCCCGTTGCGTCACAATAGGGAAGTAATCGAGGGACAGCACATTATAAACCTACACCCTGACTATAAGCTGATTCACGATTTGGAAGCACAAATCATTCGCAACAACACCAGTAACAAAATCAAAAGTGATAACAACAATAACACAACGATCACCTCGAACACCGCTAGTGCTGTCCCTATCAAGAGAACGGAGCGAGGAAGGCCCAATGAATTCACCAAAGAACTGGACGCTAAATTGAGGAGACTGCAGAACGATTCGTCCAAACGGTCATCAAAAAATGTAGGTCAATCACGTGACAAATTACCACTTTCTGAAAAAAAACGGAGTTTCCATTTCCGCCACACATGTCGAACTTGTTTTGTTGTTGGGTTGCTAGAATTAGTGCTTGCTTATCAACTGCATATCATCTCTCGTTGTCAATATGCATGTCATAGTTGAAGGCCGTTTTTCCACATGCGTCATCATGCACCTAGGTTACTTGGCTGGACAGACACGCGGGTCGCCATTATCGAACGTTTGAGATTGTATACCATTCACTTTTCCTTCTCAACGTGTCATCTGATAAAGCTCGGAGTTCCATACATTATTTTTTTCCCAATTAGGGTCCATCAGTGAAAGTCAGCCCTGTCAAAAGTGTCATGTTACAGAATTTCCCAATGTATGCGTCCTTTAATTAAGGACAAACTATTTAATTAGGTACTCATTCGTGGCAAAATAATACTCAATGTGCTGCCATTGTCCAAACAATAAAAGGGTTTATTATATTTATTTAGATATATTTTAGTCTAATCAGGCTTCGACTATTTCATGCTTAGATCACTTCAGTTTCAGTTTTACTTCCAAATAAATTGAAAAATGTTTTGCATCAAAAGCTTCATGAAAGCTTCAATCTACTTCATCAAAAATATTAAACCATAATTTTGAATAGGGATGTGCAGCTATCGGGAAATAATTCGTCATATCGGTCTTTAGACACATATTCAGATTAAATGTTTAAAAGTTTGACAAAGTTACAAAAAATTTCATTGATGGCATTGAACAGGCATGATTCAGATAAAGTATTTGGAAATTAAATTACGTTAGAAATTTCTTATTTAAAAGTTATAATTTAATAAGTATGACAGAAAAGAAAACATTCATGCGAGCCCAAAAAAAAAACAATCAGATAAAAATACAACGATTTTCACTGTTTACTGTAACCACAATATTTACTCTACGAAATTCATGGTTCACAACATGGTTCATTTTTCCCAAAACAAATTTAAATCCAATACAGTAATTTTCCTTGTTTGAGCATTGTTTTCTTGTAAAACCAAAATCGTGTTTTCACCAGTACAATAATTTAACATTAAATTTTAATGCAACGGAAAATTTACAGTAAAATTTACTGTAATTTCATTGCTTTATCGTGTTTTTTTTCGGGATGTCCACGGATTAATAGTGTGGGTAAGCTGCCACCATTGAATGTTATTCAACACAAATATTCAACCACAATTTAATAATTCAAATGATGGTCGTTGAAACAGAATCAATATAATTAATATCTAAAATAAAATAAATAAATAAAATTGTACAAACAAATATACCACCACCAAGGTGGAGATTAAAATTTATTGAACAGAACATCCCAACAAACAATTTTAGCTGCAGCTTAGCTTATACAGGCAAAAATTAGCTGCATAAGGCAAATTTTGGCTGTATAAGCTAATCTACAGCTAAAATTGTTTGTTGGGATGAACTCTAAGACAAAACTAAGACCTGAGAATGCAAAGACGTTTTCAAAATCAAACAAAATTTTGTCAATTATACAATATTAACGATAATAGTTCCCACAAATTGTTCTTTTGGGAGATGAACCAGCCTCTGGCTTAACATCTCAATGATAATAAATGTAAAAATCATTGATCTATTCTATATCTATTCTGACTGTCAGAATGAATAGTTTCGATCACGAAGAACTCAAAACCAAAATTTCTCTACAAATATTAAATTTGAGCTTGTAGTGTATTCCTTTACCTTGAGCTTGTAGTATATCCCGTGACCTTAGTTTAGTGCATGTCGTATTACTCCATCACTATTGAGAAATGATAAAGTATTCGGTTTTGATACAGTTGTCATTCTTGCCTTCATCGCAAGGAATCGATTCTAATTGAAAGGTCCCGCTATTTATACCCTTCAGAGTGTTGGAACACCCTCCAAAGGCGCGCCCCTTTGTCAGTCAAAATTGGATTCCTTAGCAACAAAAACAAGCAATGACACCGATAATGACCATGCATCAGAACCCTAGTCTTAACCACTTTAAACTAGGGAGCAACGAATAGAATATTAGGAATCATATAGGTAAAGACAAACTAACTCATTTTTCCCTTGTTTCAAGATCATCCTCGGTCCAGGTAGCCCGAGGACTTATCACTTTCAACAAGGCATAACAAGTAACAAGGACTAAGATGTGTTCCTTGGATTACTGAAAAATCCTGTTCTCCTAGTTTGAAGTAGTCAAGACTAGAAATCGGTGGTAGATTTTACATCCCGTAACGTACCACGAAAAGGTGATCTACCCACGTCTATAAACGTGTGGATGAATTGGGGTTTTATTCAACGATCTTCTCCCCCAATAATCAGAACAAATGTATTAAACTAGGTATCTCAATTCACATTGATTTAAGGTGAAAGGGGACGTCATTAATTTTCATAAATTCAAAAGCAGTGTTTCGTTCAAAACCAAAATTACGTTCATGAACATGTGTTGATTACATTCTATTTGTCTACAGGAACACAGTGAATACATTTTCATTGACAGAATTTCATATTCAAACAAAAAAACTGAGTTCTAATTTTCAAAAATTATTTTTATTTTTATAAATGATTAAGGATCTGTAAGTTGTCTTCGCGATTCAATTCTCATGATCCAATAAATCAGTAACGATACGTATCTAAGCAGATTAACAAGTAGGTACCGTTAGTGACAGTGAAAATGAGTCAAAAAATCATAATTTGTCGTTCCCTAACTTACAACATTCACATTATAGCAAAGAAAAACAATTTTAAGCATGTGAATATATTCATCATTGATATACTTATTCACGACTGTCATGGAAATGATTGATGGAAATTGATATCTCATTTTACTAAAATTAAATTAAAAAAAGACCAAAGTAAAATCTTATGTAGAGTGACAGTGGGTCAACACATACATTTGGTTAAAATATCTTAAAATATTTTTAGTGTAACGTAGTTATTAGGAGTACAATGTACTTCGTATATATGGCTAAAGATCACGTGTAACGCTCGTCTATCCACATAAAAGCAGGGTGCCTTCCATTCATTTTGGATAAAAAAATGTTTTATTGAATTATGGAATAATAAGATATTATAGTAGTATTTTGTTTGTGTAAGCAACGAGAAAACACTGTGAAGTTTGTGTTTGACACATAATATCTGCCAATTTTGCTACACGAGTGTCGCAATAAGCGATTTTGTCATTTATCTCACCCACTCTTCGCTCTTCACTCTTCGCGAAGCGGCGATTAGACAATCGCTCATTGTGACTCTGCCAAAGCTAAATTTGCAGGTTTTATGCGTCAAACACAATTATTACAATCTTTTCTTGTTACTTATACATACAAAATATCATTATAATATCTTACTATTCTATAATTTAATAAAACATTTTTTTAGGCAAAATGAATGGCAGACACCCTGCATAAAAGTGTGTTCAAACTTTTATGCAGGGTGTCTGCATAACTGCATGTATTGACATTTTTAAAAACGTGTTTTTGCTACTATTTATGACACTTAACTTTACAGCACTATTTAAATAGAACAGCTGGTTGTTACCTACACTTTACTGCAGAAGTTCAAGGAGCATATTCTAGTCATCATTTTCTGTAAACTCAAGATGTTTGCATCAATAAAAAATTTTCAATTTTGGCTCAATGTCACCCCCTAGGCCCAGTGTCACCCCGTCTTATGGTAGTAAGTATCTCTCAAAATTCCAGGAAACTTCGCACAATTGTTCACTAGGGGCAATGCAACAAGTTTGTGCCAAAATTAAATCATATAACGAAAACGGTAAGCCACGTCTGAGACTAAATTTTAGAAATAAAAAATATACACTGAAAAAAATCACCAAATTTCCGTCAAAAAGAAAAGAAAAAAACCTTTTAAAAACTTAATTAACAAAAAATACAATGTTAAGGTCAATGTTTATTTGACAGCTTATCAAAAATGTTAACTTTTCTTAACAAAGGGAAATCAATTTTGATTTCTTCTTATTTTTGAAATACTCCTAAATCGTCATCTTCACATAGGCCATTCAATAATTACGTAAGCATGATTTCCAATATTTCAGACCCCCCCCCCTCCCCACCTTGTAAGACATAGTAAGATTTTTCAATACCACCCCTCCCCCCCTGTAAGATCTTACCAACTTTGTTTTTTTCTTAAATCGGTATTTCGAAAGAATCGGCTTTTTGGTGATTAAAACAACACTTTTTAATTTAAACAACCATTTAAAAGGCAAACAGAACTTCACAGATCAGTTGAAGCAGCCTGATTTAAAATAAACGTACAATATAAGGTAAATGAGATATGTTAAAATGTATGTGTTGTTACTTACTTTACTGAAAAATAACGCATAACTGCTGCGTTTTCTCAGTTTCATTGCTTCAAATTTTTGAATTTTGATACTGACTGCATTTTGCAAGTCGTCAAACGATTTATTGGCTTTTTTGATTTCTCGCCAAACATCATTAGCTTTTTGTTGTGCAACAGCTGCTGAAAATTCCGAATGAGCTTCCTTAAAAGCCCACTGCAGCTTGATGTCTAGGTCCCTTTGTTTAGACATACCGTTTAAAAAACGATAACAAGACAAAAACGTTTTAAAAATTACGGAAATTACAAAACTATGTACTTAAATCGATCAATTTCTATCACACCAAAACAACTTGCAACTCTCGACGTAACCAACAAAACAATCGCCATATTGTTATGATATCAGTAAGTATCGAGCAAGGTTTTAGAAAATCAAATACCAGGTAGAAAAAAAAACGATTTATAATAGTAATAGTCCTTGACGTATTGGTATTCAGTATTGAAGTATTGTTTAGAGCATTGGTAAACTGGAAGAGTTGATGACATTATTAATAAACGATCCATTAACGGGAAGATTACCGCCGGATCCGTAGAAATCGACCTTGACGCGTATTTTATTTTTTCTAAAATTCTTTCAAAAAGATATCAAAAATTCAAAAATATCCGTTTTTTTCGTAGATTTCAAA